ATATATCAACTTTATATCTAATCTAATATAATCCTAATGATTCATTGATAGCATTTTCCCCCTTCTATGATACAACAATTATCTTTTCATCGAAAAGTTATTTTATAATGAGAAATAAAAACACAATGGATAGAAATGCAAAACATGATGCATACTTACATTTGTCACAATTATTAAATCATGGAGTAAAGAATAAAAACTCCCAAAATGTGAAGTTATGTGGCTTCATGTGACATGCGATGTTTGGTTTTAAGCTTAATGACTAATTTCGTGGCTTGATTTCAAATAGAAAGGACAAACTTTTAAGACTCTGCTTTTAATTATTGAACTATGTAAGATTAATTTTTAGTGTTTGTAAATATTTTAGAATTTACATGTTTAGACAGAAAGACCAAATTACAAAAAAAAAATGATGGGATCAGATCATTATATACATTATATAATCTTATGATCTACATACAAACCTACATTCTTATATCAAACTTTACTATAAAACTGGTCATTTTTGGCTTGATAGTTACAATCCAACAATCAAGATATCAATCATAACACCAATACAATGACTACGATATTATTTATTTCATTTTTAAATTAAGACTATTAAATAAAAAAAACAAATTTAATAAGCTTTGTTATAAAATTTTAAAAAAATAATAAAAAAAATCCACTTTTCATTTAAAAGTCTTGAATACACAATAAACAGAACTTATTCTCTACAACTTTATCAAATATCTCAAGGGTGCATTAAGAGAATGCGTACTTCACAACACTAAACAAAGGTTCCCATGGTGAATATCACAACAAATATTCTTTCCTTCTTCCCATTTTTTCTTTCTAAACAATGTCACTCCATCTGAATTCTTAACTTTCTTCCATATTTCTTTACACACTATTCCAAAAATCCAACATTTACACAAAACCCAAAAATCCCTATTCCAAACATCAACTCAAATGGGTATCTTTCTAAGCAAAAACCAAAACCTCCCACCACAACTACCACCACCATCATCGTCGGAGCTCCACCACCGGCAAGATTCAATCCTAGGCAAACCATACAAAAACCTCACAGATGATTACAAAATTGGTAAAGAATTGGGAAGAGGCAAATTTGCAGTGACAAGCATCTGTAAAGAAAAGTCAACGGGTAAGAAATACGCATGCAAGTCAATTCCAAAGAGGAGACTTGTTACAGAAAGCGAGAAGCAACATTTGAAGAGAGAGGTTAGGATTATGGAGCATTTAAGTGGTCAAAAGAATGTTGTGGAATTGAAATGTACTTATGAAGATAATCGATCTGTGCATTTGATTATGGAGTATTGCGAAGGCGGAGAGCTTTATGATAAGATGAAAGCGAAGGGTAGATATAGTGAGAAAATTGCGGCTCAAATTATTAGTTCAATAATGAAAGTTGTTTATTCTTTGCATTTTATGGGTGTGATGCATAGAGATTTGAAGCCCGAGAATTTTTTGTTGTCAAAAAGAGGTGTTTTGGGGTTTCTTCCATGTTATGCTGATTATACCATGTTGAAAGCAATTGATTTTGGATTATCCGCGTACATCGAGGAAGGTATTTTTAATGTTTTTTTTCTTATTAAGGTATTGTATTTTGAAATAATATCCAACTATAGTATTATACATTTTTTTGTTATAAGGATATTATACTTTGAAAAATCTACCATGTAGCATAGAAATTGTTTTATATTTGGATGATATTGCTATAATGTGGTAGATATTTTCATGAATAATATTGTAATAGCAAGGAATAAAAGATGATGATATAACAAACAAATCAATGAAGTCATTATAGCATTTTACAATTAACTTTTTTTCTTATTAGGATATTATACTTCGAAAATCTACCAACTATAGTAGTGAAACCATTTTCTATTTGGTATACATTGTTGTAATTATAAGACATTGTACTTTGAAAAATCTACCACATTGTATGCATTATACTTTAATTTATTTTCTCATCATGATATTATACTTTGAAAAATCTACCAATTATAACGGTGTGAAAAATTATTTTATATTTGGATGCCAATATGCCATTGCTATAACTACATCGTGTTATTTATATACAACGTTGTAATAGGAAGAAATAAAAACAAGATCCCATAAAAAAACAACAATAAAAACACATTGCTATTTATCGTATTGAATCAATTTATGAATTCCCAATTAAAATGAAATATGCAACCTTTTTTCCAGGAAAACTTAACCAAGAGAAAGTTGGAACCGCATTCTACGTTGCCCCCGAGGTTTTGAGGCGTCAAGGATACGGAAAAGAAGTGGATATATGGAGCGCAGGGGTGATTCTATATATGTTACTCACCGGAGTGCCACCTTTTTATGGTGGTAAGAATAAGATTAAAAGATTCCTTATCTTTTTTTTAGCATTTAAATTACCTCTAAAAAAATTAACTCATCCAAAAAAATTTTATTTTTGTAGAAGATGAGAAAGAGATATTTCGCGCGGTAATGAAAGCAGATCCCGATATGGAGAACCACCCGTGGCCGTCGATTTCAAAGAACGCGAAAAAGTTGGTGAAGAAGATGCTCACAGTGGATCCAAAGAAACGCCCAACTGCTGCGGATGTTCTTAGTATGTTTCTAACATAACAAAATTAATTAGCAAATCCAAATAGAAGGAAGAGTGAAATTACTTATATAACCTTGGCGTAGCCTTGTTTATCATTAAAACACTATCTTTTGCAAGTTGATTATTTGATTTTGATTATTTTAACATTTAGATGATCAGTGGTTGGTGGACAATGGTGTAGCAACCAAAAATCCAATAGATGATGAGTTTCTTGTTAGGATGAAGAACTTTAGAGCTATGAACAAATTCCAAAGATTCGCACTCCAGGTATGGTTTAATATTCATGAAGGAATTTGATTCCTCCAATTTTGTAGATGATGTAATGGAATGAAAACCGTAATATATATAATCCCAATTCTATTTATGTGATCAATATTTTTTTTTCTAGAATTCATGATTGTGATTAAATTATAATTTTATTTTCTAGAAACAACTAAAACATATATATTTTATTACAGTTTGGACCAACTTTCAATTTCATATATAAATATAATAAAATATTGAAGTCAAGCATTTATTATGTTTTACTTTTTAGTTTTATTATTAAAAAAAAAAAAAAAAAAAAAAAAAAACTCGTTCAGCCTTATCTTTTCATTTATTTTAGGTTATTGCGGATATCATCCCACCAGACGAACAGGAGGGACTAAAAGCAATGTTTCATAATATAGACACAGACGAAGACAAAGTTATCACACGTGAAGAACTTGAGAAATCATTAGTTAGGGTCGGATCAAATCTTGGGTCTGAAGAAATCAAAATAATAGCCGAAGCTGTGAGAATCCTCCAAAAAAAAATCTTTATATAATTCATAAAATATAAAAAGTTAAAAATATTACACTTATTGTATTTGTAATTTTGTATTGTAGGCTGATGCAGATAGGAATGGATTGATCGACTACAATGAGTTTATCACAGCCATGATGAACTTTCGGAGAACTTATAAAGAGGAACACCTTCTTAAAGCTTTTCAGAAATTTGACAAGGATGATAACAAGTAAGCATGCATTTTATGGCAAATTAAAGAAATCAGAAAACCTTTTATATATATTTTTTTACCAGGTATATTTAATTTTATCGATTTCCATTTTCTAATTTTTGCAATTTTGGTCCAAAAACGAATCATAACAGAAACGGTACCAAAATCGTTACAAAAGCTCAAATGTGGACTAAAACTGCAAGAGAAATCATTTTTGGGACCACATGTGTAACTTACTCTTTTTCGGAATTCACCATTTTAACGTGATCATATAACAAGTCAAAAGGGTCATTTTGGAAAAATGTCTGTAACTTTTATTGTTTGATTGGGAAAAAAATTTACAAGTTCTAAACAACTTTCCAAATTAACCATTTAATTTAACCTGATTCAACAACTACATTACAGGTGAAATCTGATATAAGAAAATTACAATTACCAAATGAAACCTAATATAATATAAAGGTCAAATTGGTTAATTTGGAAAAACGTTTGAAACTTTTATGGCTTGATTGGAGAATGTATAAAAGTTACAAACATTTTTCCAAATTTACCATTTTGACCAGATCAAAATAGTTAATTTGGAAACTTATAGGCGAAACATAAACAAAACAGGTTAAAATGTTTGATTTGAAATGAAAAAAAAAGTATATGACTACGCTTTATGTTTTTGATTAAAAGACTAGTGATTAAACTACAAAATTGCCCAAAATATATTGGTTTTTTTTCTGTAATTTCCTCTGTTTTGTACATGTTTTTCTACAAATTTATATTTTGTGAGTTTTGGATCATGATGTGGAATTTATGGCAGTCGTATTTCAAAGGATGAACTAAAATCAATGTTGGAAGAATATAAAATGGGCGATGCAGACACCATTAATGATATAATATCAGAAATTCATGTGAATGCTGTAAGTTATTACTGTTTGAATAAAGTGTTGTCAGGGTATATGATGTTTAAAGAATATTTGAAAAAATGACGATTTTGACCCTAATAACAGGATGGTGAAATCAGCTATGAAGATTTCTGTAAAATGGTAAAAAGCTAAAAGATGATGTTGAGCAAATTACCGAGTTTATTTCAAGAACCGGGTAATCGGTTGAGATCCATTTCCACTTGATGAATTGTCCATTGCATATTCTCTAGTTTCTTAAAAATTACATGTTTTAACTTTTAACTCATTTAACATTTTATTTAATTAAATTCAGTAAAATTGTATCTTATAAATGAATAGTTAACCTACCTTCACTATTTCTTGATATTGCCTTGCGATTGTGTCAAAATGGGGGTTGATATTCTCGAAGCCGTGTTACCTACAAATCGATATAATTGTGTCAATTCACAAGGGCATTATCGTCTTTTGCACATAAAAAAGATCAAGAATGAGTCCCTGTTTGTCCCCACAGTAAGGATCATATGAAAATGATGCAAGAAACAACGTACAACTTTGTTGTATGCAAGTGAAGCTTCTTCAATGGCTTCGACAAGATATTTCCTGTAAAATTACGAAAATACCCCTGTTAAAATCACAAAGAGAAAACGATTTAAGAAAACACAATCTTACATTATCTTCCTGTGTATAAGTCTCAAGCAGGAGAATATGCTCCAAAACTCTGAACGAAACAAAATGAGGAGGGCATTTATGTCTTTTGAACAACACCTTCCTGTTGATGAATCTGTAGCACAAGATTGTTCACCATTTTACATTATTATATAGGATTCATGACATACAAATTATAATAGCAACAAACTATCTGAAATTTGCTTATTCAGTCACCAAAGTCTAATTGGCTATAATAATAGAGCCCTAATACAGCAAATTTGTGTGATATTACCTACATGGAAAATCTTAAATATTTTAATTTAACTAAATACATAATGTTAGTTTTGACTTAATTGAGATTAAAATTATTTCCGAAAATGATCTGTTCTTGAATGGAGACGATGTCTTCATCAATTCATTTCGGGTTTGTTTGGAAGAAATTATCCAGAATAACATCAACTATGTTCTTCATTAAAGTAAATATGCTTGTAAGTCAATAAACATATACATGAAAATGATATAAAAGATTATACATATGTCCTAAATTTGAATAATTTATCCTTAAACATCCACTACATCAGCAGAGGATCAAATGAATGCAACATATCATATAAAATGAACATTACAGTTCATGAATAGAAAAGTATTTGTCAACTTACCTGAAGGGTATTCTCGGTAATTTAACAATAAAGGGCAGTATGGTCATTGTGTACATAAGTTAGTCAGTTAGATTGTTTTTATACACAGGTATCTTGTATATATATGTGTAAACGGTTCTTTATTCAAGTTTATGAAAAACTGAATTCATCCGAATGTTTGTCTTTCTTTGTCTCTCAATCTAAAAGATAACAGTATTTAGGTTCATATTTGTGTGGTGCAAGGAGAGTGAAACTAACCCAAATCATCAATAAAAGCATCAGCCAACTTGTCACATTTAGCCTTTAAACGGATCTCAATCACATGAAGAAGTGGCATTTGGTATTCTCCCACATCCTACAACAATTGATCAACATTGTTTAAAACTATAAGCACCAATCAGGAACATACAAAAAAAAACTAAACAAAGAGCAACACACTTAACTTTTACTAATAAGGGGAAAAGAAAAAAGACATGGTCAACTTACCATAGGTAATGGTGCATGTTGGACCTGACTTTGCCACAAATAAGCAGGTGTTATTACCATGGCTTCCAAATAACGTAGTCTTTCTCTCGACATTTCCTCTAGCGCCTTAAACGTCAATCAACAGAGTAAAATAAACCAAAATCGAGAAATTGCATCGAACAATGAGAGTAGAATAGATCGTACAAGTTGGAGATCATTGTATAAAGATTTGGAGATGAGAGATCCATCGGGAGCTAAGCAGTGACGCTCCAATTGGTCGATCATGGGTTACATCTGCTGGAAGGTTTTTCCCGTACTGTTGCGCTGAAATTTCGAAAAATCATAATTTTCTCTCACGAAGTCAGATTTGGACGTTCTCTATGTGTACACTTTCGGTTTAACGACTACTACGACTTTTGTTTAGATTGCTTACGCTAATAAGCAACCTATCAAGAATCCACTTTTTACGATACGTTGATCCGTGTCGGTTAAATCGTGAAACTTCGAAGAAGCATGACTTCTTCATACGAAATCGGATTTAAGCATTTTATATATCTACGGAAATCGTATTGACGTTTCCTACACATTTATATCGATTATTTTTGCTATAAATTAATGTATTTCTACTTCGAATATTATAAACAACGGTTTATATTGAATCCTATAGAACCGTAAAAATGGGGTGTTACACAGCTGTTTGTTTCCAACAAAATCTGGGTATTTTTCGAATAAACATGTTACAGCTTACATTCAAAAAAACTTCAAACTCAAAAAGGATGATATGTTGGGTAATCCACCAATGAGATAGTTGTTTTGTAAAAACAGACAATTAAAATCGACCATCTACATGATAGTTTCTAGGATTGGTCTTGTGAAAGAATTATATGACAGATTAAGCATTTGTAATCTTTCCAGAAGTACCTAGGTAGGTTACCGGTAAGTCTATTATGTTGGAGCAGCAATTGAGCAGTTGGTGAAGTCAACATCTCTAATGCACCCAGTGTCTCTGCTGGGATTTGGCCTACAAGCCCCATTGCGGGAAGCATAATATGAATCACTATCCTGCCAACACATGTGACCCTATCCATGACCTACACATCGTGGTCGAACGATTCCAGTTAAGATTATATTGAAGTCCTGCTTTAAAACCCGGCAAGGCTTCTTTGTCGCGATGGATATGGCCACTTATTTCACCAATGATGAACAGGAACATATTGATTTTCATATAAAAAACGGAATGTTAAACCGTATACAACCAAAAACTATTAAACAACATTTCGTTTTTGTTTACTAAGTAACTTAATAAGTATTGTTTTAACTTAGAACAAACCTCTGACCTTAACAAAGTCATTGCTTCCATTGAAAAATCTAACAACGAAAGATGGAGAATGAGAATCGGAATCGGAGCCGGAGCCGGAATGTGATGAAATTAAAGTGAAGAAGAAGATGATGTCAGTTAAGAAACATATTTTCCTTCAGGTGCTTTCCATTCTACTACAATTTGAATTTTTTATAAGATAGTAAGATTTTATAAGATAGTAAGAGGTGTTCCTAATTGATCTAATTACGCAATTAAATCATTTGTCACTTTGGACTTGATGGTAGTACACAATTGAATTCTTCATATTTTTCTTATACTTGGCTGCGAGGGTTAATGTGCTTAGGTGGCTTTTCTTGCATTATCGATGTGATTTTTGAATTTTATGTCTTTGTCTTCTAGATCTTGGAGTTATCTTTAATAGTTGCTATATATGTATAGTAATTATAAGTTATAATGAACTGCACTTAACTTTGGTCTAAACTCAGTGAATAATTTTTTTTTTAACTCATTGTTTGACTTTGGGTTGGCCACTAAAGACCCTGGAGATTGGTTTTTATTAGGCAGAAAACACTTAAGTTTTACAAATTCCTCAAAGATCATCAAATATTCACAAACTTTGATATCAAATTCCTCAAAGATCCTCAAACATTCACAAATTTTCTGAGTTATAACTTTGGAATGAAATAGTAGAAAACACAAATATCGGTTTATGTGAACCAGAAATCACACCGTTACAGTAGAGGATTTGCAACAGGATGACAAAATAGCAAAACAAACATCAACAAAATACTCTTTAAAAAAAACTACGAAATACTAAAGCTTGTAATTTCCATATCATTTTCACAACATGCAACATTTAGATTATAAAAGCAATTCTTTTGACTACACAATTCGACCAATTGAATTATTTGTATGGTATAGCATCATACTTTCGTTTATTTGTTTAAATTTTTTTTCCACATCTTTTGTCTCTAAGACATAGTGGCCAAAACATTATTCATGAATTGAAACCATTTCACATATTAATTAAAATCAACGACACTTACTAACAAAACATGCAATGTTGTATAAAACATTCAATATTGTATAAAAGTAACTTGTTGAAATTTATAATGAATGATTACAATTTTTTTAGACTTTATGTTATTTTATTTTATCAACCGTGTACGACATGGGTTATAACCTAATCTCTAAATATTATTAAAAGAGAATCCTTAATTCACCAATGAAGCAATCAGGACTCTTGATTGTATTTCAGTCTTATGTTTTCTACCCTTAAATCAAATTGCTGACATCATCTTCCCCAAATAGAATTCAAATAGTATATAATTATAGAATATTTATTCACGTTTTGGAATATTTAATTGCTTACCATATTAAACCTTCCAATTGATTCTAATTGATATTATACATAGTAAACGACTTTTCATAAGTCAAATGATATTTTTGTAAAAAGGAACTTATAAGGTATGTTATTTTCTATCTCAAATTTAAATTTAAATACATTTCAGTTTATTTACTTCCTATTTTTCATCATTATATATCTTCTATACATAATACAAAATTCTAATATTTTTATTCTTCGATTTACGCAGGAACAGTTGACATACTGTATGTACTTCTATACCTTATCATTTTCTGTTTCGCACTTTCAATTCCTGTTATCAAATCACTGCATACTTTCATTAACTCAAACCTCAATCTTCACATTAATCTAATTAGTTATTTCAATAAATGTGTTTCCAATAAAACCATTTATTTTGATTTCATTCGTTTTCCTCCAACTATTTAATGGCTCTGTCAATGTTGTTATTGTTTTTATTTAAATTAAACATTCTGAATTAAAAAGAGTTTCAATTTCATACAATTTTGCCTTTATGGAAAATCGATACTGCAACATTCGGTACTATTCATACAAAGGGCAAATCTGGAAAACAATTTACTATCCCTTCATAGTAGGATATTTTCATTTTCTACAAATGAACATAATACCAATGTACTTCTGAACCATAAATATATTGCTATTCTGTTCTTATATTTGTATTGTTGTTCTAAATTATTGACTGCTATCAATTTAACATAATTGCCCCTTTCAACTATAAAGTTTACCATTTTCATGAAAGAAAATTGTCCAGGTGACCATGTTGTCACTACCAAATAATAACAGTGTACTTCTGAATCATAAATACAATGTTATTCTGTTTATTTTATTTGTATTGCTCTTTTAAATTATTGACTGCTGTCAATTTGACATATTTGCTATTTACTTACTTCAACTTATTTTTTTTGTTTTTTTTATTTTTTATTTTTTTGGTTTTGTTAAATATGTGCATATGTTCGTTTCCATTTAATGATTACTACTTTTTTTTTGTTTCTAATCAGCACCTCACATTTGACAATTTACTGTGGCAAGTAATATTGTTTTCTCATATTTTTATAATTGATTGGATTTCGTGGAATAAAATGATGTAATAAGATGAAATATAATTTTTATTTTATTTTAATAGTACCTGATGAATAAAAGAAAAAAAAGGAGGCTAATGGAATTGTCATCTAAAATTGTAGTTGATGAATACATTATATAAAACATGGATTTTTTTTTGTATTGCAATGAGTAAAGGGGCAAGATGGTCATTTAGATTTAAGTAAGATTTTTTTTTTGTATTTTATTTAAACCGACTATTTGATGGTAGTAATTTTAATTTTAAATCTGTGTACTATTGTATTTTTTTGAAACTATTAGTTTATCCCTTTAAACATCCATATTACTTGGTTGAGTCGCATGTGTTTAACAAGAATCAATGAAAATTATTATCAACTGTTGGATTGTATTTGCGTAGACTTGTCTTCACTAATGGTCAGTTATATGTAGCTGTTTTTAGCGTGACAAGTAAAAAAGGCTTGAATGTACTCATATGTGACAAGGAAGATCGTCCAACCAATAAAACAAAAAATGTTGTCTATAAAGAGGTCCTCCAACGATTATAGATAATCAGACATTTCGTTTTATTTATTTTAGACATTGCAATATATTCAATAACACAAAGTCTCTTTATGTTACTTTATCTTTTTTTTTATGTCGACTTTTGATAACTTTATATGTATTTTTATATGTTCCCCGCATTTTACGCGGGTCATAATCTAGTACGTTATAATAACTTAATTAAATATAAAACTTTCACATCAATCATAAGTTTAGTATAAATTTTATTACAAAAAATAAAAATCATCTTTAAATTGGTAGATGTAGACAAAAAGCTTTTTTGCTCTACTTTGATTTGCCATGGCAGATTAATACTTACTACCCTTGCATTTTTTCCATGACTTTTGTTCTCTAGCATTTGGCAATATTTAAAAGTAATTTTTAAGCAATTATATACACTAGGTGTGGGACTCATGTATTACATGAGTTTATTTAAAAAAATGTAAATAAGAAATTTTAACAATTTGAGAAGTTTGAATTTATAAGAAAAATGAGAAAAATTTTAAATTATTAAAATTAATGAGGCTTTAACACATTGAATACATTACATATATAAATCATTTCTAATAAATACCTTACATATATATTACCTTACGTATTAAATGTAGAATTTTAATTTAATAAAATGAAAAATACAATAGAATGACAAGTGGAAAATAGAAAATTCTAAAATTCTAAAAATATCATATGTCCAAATGAAAGAGAAGATGACATGTGGCAAAAAGATTTTGATTTATTAGGAACTAGGTGTAAGACCCATATATTACATGGGTTAATTAAAAAAAATTAAATATAAATGTTTAAATATTT